AGAACATTATTATGCGACCAACCTCTAGAACTCTTTAATGTTCACATTGTTATGCAACCAATGTCCAGAACCCTTCTTGTCTTGCAAAATGGAAAGTGTGTCCCCATGAAATAACAACTCCTTATTCCCTCCTCCCCCATCCTCTTTTATTTTGGCAACCACCCTTTTATTTTCTGATTCTGTGAATCTGGCTTCATATAAGTAGAATCATACAGTGTTTGCCTTTCCAGTGTCTGGCTTATTTCACTAAGCATAATATTCTCAAAGTTTATCTGTACTGTAGCGTGTATTAGAATTTCCTTCCTTTTTAAAGGTGAAGAATACTGCATTGGATGTGTATACCATTTGATTTGTCCATTCACCTGTCTGGGAGCCTCTGGGCTGTTCCACTTTTGGCTGTTTGGATGATGCCACTCTAAATATGGATACTCAACTATCTCTCCAAGACCCTCCTCTCCGTCCTTTTGAATCTGTAATGAAGATGGGGTTGCTGGGTCATGTAACTCTTCTTTTTCCTGTTCTGAGGAGCCACCATATCGCCCACTTTTGAACATGATCTGTGAGGGTTCCTCCCTCCCTGGCCTTAAGGCTCCCTCCTTGAGGGCTGAAGAACGAATTGTATTTCTTTCCTTCTTCCCTTCACTTGGGGGGCCCAGCACTGGGTTTAATCCTCTCTTGGGAGCTGGCTGGGGCAGGGCGGGAGAGTGTGTCCCCCCATGTGGAAAGTGTAGTTCCTACAGCACAGGAAGATGTGTGGCTCCAGGCTCCGAGGCTCCCAGGGCAGGCCTTCTTGGAAGGCAGCTGCCGGGATGGGATGAGTCATCTCTGTCTGAAGAAGCTGGGACCAGCCTGGTGCTGGGCCCCGACGGTGCCAGGATCAGATTGCCTCCAAACCGAAAGTGCAGAGTTCAAGAAAAAGAGGGGCCTCCTCTTGAAAAGGCCTCTCGTGTCTCGTAGGCTTGTTAATCTGGGTGACCACACAAAAAGGCCTCTTTCACAGGTGGGAATCAGTAGGCAATGTGGGAACTTCCTGGCAGCCCGGGCTTATTGCCCACCCCACAGGACTGTGCCACAATTGCTGGGATCCTTGCGAGCCAGGCTCAGGAGGGAGTCTCCACTGTGGACCTGGTGGTGTTGCAATACGGCCTCCAGTGCAGGAGTGCTCATGGGGTAGAGGCGTAGAAACCCTGGGTATGTGTTCAATCAGACATTTGTGGGCAAGAGAATGAGCCTTCGTAGCAGTCAGAGAACAAGTCTCAGGTAAAAATGCCTCTCTCTATGGGCAGAACTGGGTGATTGGTGATTGGTGATCCTACTGAGGAAAAGCCCTTGCCATCTCTGGGAACCCTTTTGGTCTTAGGTATGTTGGAATTTATTTTGCAGAGGACCATTCAATGGATATATCCTCTTGACATTGATCTTTTGTTTGTCTGGATCACAAATGCTTCCTTTAAAAAAGGCGTTATCTGCCAGGCACAGTGATGCATGCCTGTAATCTCCCAGCTACTCTAGAGCTGAGGCAGAAGGATTGTGAGTTCAAGACCAGCCTTGGCAACTGTGCCAAATTTTGTCTCAAGAAGAAAAAAGGACTGGGGATGTAGCTCAGAGGTAGAGTGCTCCTGGGTTCAATGCCCCAGTATCATAGAAATAAATAAATAAATAAAGGCATCATTTCCATTGTTTTCAGATGAGTTTTCATACAGTGAGATGTGTGCAAATCTTAAGTATATAATTTGATGAGTTGAACTAGCGTAGAAACCCAGAGTCCACAGTCTAATAAGGATGTAGGACATTTCTGTCACCCTAGAAAGTTCCCTGAGGCCCCTTTCGCCACCTCCACCCCCCACCCCAATCACTGATTATTTTCCAATAATATATGTTAATTTGCCTTTTTTTGAAGGTCATGTAAATGAAATTACACAGTATGTACTTTTTACATCTTGCTTCTTTTGTACAATTTCTCAGGAATCCATCCATTTTATGTGTGTATAAGACACACTTATATGCTGCTTTTTAAAAAAAAAATCTGAGTATATAGCCGGGCACAGTGGCACACACCTGTAATCCCAGCGACTCCGGAAGCTGAGACAGGAGGATCACAAGTTCAAAGCCAGCCTCAGCAATGGTGAGGTACTGAGCAACTCAGTGAGACCCTGTCTCTAAATAAAATACAAAATAAGGCTGGGGATATGGCTCAATGGTCGAGGGCCCCTGAGATAAAATTCCTGGTACCAAAAATAAATAAATAAATAAATAATTCTGAGTATAATTCTATTGTGTAAATACACCCCACTGTGTGACTTCTCTAAGAACTGCTTTTTAAGGAGAGAGAGGAACTCCACTGGGTTCTACACTCAAGCATGCCCAAATCTGCCCATTCATCTGGGTTTTTATCCTGCCCTTCCTGAACATCCAGTGGTAGAGCACTTGCCTGGTGGGCACCAGGCCCTGGGTTCAATCGGCAGCACTGGGAAGAAGAAAAATGGGCATGTGGGAGATGCAGCTAATGTGTTCTGCTGCATCGGAGGCAGGGAAACTTGACCAGGGAGGGCTTCAGAGAGGAGGTGGTTTTGCTCTGAGCTTTCCGGAAGAGCGGGCTTAGAATTCTTGGAGATGCATCTTAGTAATCCCCAGCAGAGTGGAAGGAACAGTTGAAGTACAAGGAAGGCAGGGCCCACAGGCTGGTGTTCCTGAGCTCACCACTTCACAGCAGCAGCTGGAACCTGCCGGTAGCCTGCATTATCTATCCCCGGGCTGGGCCCAGAGGTGGGGCAGGAAGGAACCCAGCCACAGCACCTCTTTCTGAGGACCACCGGACTACTGTGTTAAGCACATGCACTTTACACCTCTTGGAATCAGTTGTGTCCTGCCACCTGCAATTGGTCCAGGCCAGGCCTCCCTACAGGTTGTGTAGGCCTCATGTCTGGAGGGGAGGCACTGGGACAGCCCTAGAAGAGAGCAAGAGGGGACTGACCTCCTCCTTGCCTTCTCTGTTCCTCCTCCCTGTTGAGTCCTCTGGAGTGAGGAGCTTTTCCCTCCTGGTTGTGAGTCGCTTGGCAGCGGGCACGTGGACACTCAGTGACCCAGGTAGCTGAGTCCTTGGGTTGAGCAATGGCCTTCACATTTTGTACCTCCCTTTGCCCAGGCCAAGGTGCCCTGACCTTTGGACTTAGTCACACCCCAGCCTGGCCAAGGGCAAGGTCACTAAATCTGTATGAGTTGAAATGGAGCCAAGAAAAGCAGTGATAATTCCTTCCCTGTGTTTGCAGAGCACTTTGTACTTTGTCAGACATGATCAAGCTTGGTTTTTGTTTTTTTTTTTTAATCCAACCAGTGAATATTGTCCAGTGCCCACTATGTGCCTGGTGGGAGAAGGGTAAACACCATAAGACCGATGCTTTGAAGGAGCCTGCAGTCTGGTTGAGGAGACATGTGAATAATAAGTGTAAGAACTAGTGAGACAGGAATATGTACAGACCAGGGATCACAGGAGGGAATCGTTGGTTGTACCAGGGTGAATCAGGAAGGGCTTCATAGAGGAGGTATCATTCAGTGGGTCAGAAGGTGAGCAGTACTTTTGGGTGAACTTGGTGGATAGTGCATTTTAGGCAGAAGGAGCAACTGGAGCAAGTCAGGAAGCCATCTCTCAACCCAGCAGTTGGGAGCAGGAAGTTGGATGTGGATGTGGCTGGCAGGGTGAGAAATTAGGATGGAAAGGTGACAAGTCTTAGAAGGCCTGGTATGGAGCATCAGGAGTTTGGACCTCACCGATAGCAGTATGGAGACTTCTACAAAGAGCCCCCTGGGGAGCAGTGTGCAGGATGGGTTAGACTGGAGTGAGACTGGAGTCAGGGAGGTCAGTTAGGAGGCCAGTATGGTTATCCCCTCTAGAGATACTGCCTAAAATGAGGCAGTAGGAGAAAAGGGGAGGGGAAATTGAAAATGTTAATGACTTGGATTGACAGTTGGCTCTTGGGACTGGTAGGGCAGGAAATAATGGAGGATTGCATTTTTAGCATTCCTTTATTAAGTTATCTCGAATGTCTATTACGTGTAAGGTAGTGAGTGTGTGGGGCACAGAGATGAGAAAGACATGGGTTCTGCCCATTGGGAAGTGATAGTCCTGGAAGCATTTTCTAGTCAGGCCTCCATTAACTTCAAGCGACAGAAACAATTCAAATTAACAAAAAGAAAACAAAAAAAGTTGGGGGTGGGGAGCAGTTTTGCCTCATATACCGGAAAGTTCAGCAGGCTTTCTCTAACATTTCCAAGCTGACCTCAGGTACCAGCTCAACAACCCCAGTGGAAAAGAGTAGCAGTTCCACGATGGATTCTTATTGGTCCCAACTGGGCCATGTGCTTACTCTTAGCTAGTCATTGTGTCCCTCATCTTTGGCTTAGACCACAGGAGGGGTGGTCGGAGGGAAAGCAAGTGTCATCAGTGAAAGATGGGATGTGGATGTCTGTGAGGTACAAAAAGAGCAGGCGTCCACTACAAGCAGATAGGAGCTGGACACAGGGAACCTGTGCAAGGTAGAGACATGGGAAGGACACATGCAGAGGGCTGCGTGACCTGAGCACCTGCTCGTGGGTGGGGATCGTGGTGGTCTAGGAAGACTTCAGTTTGCCCACACAGTGGGGGAGGACAGAACTGGCCATGGTGACCACTGTACAGTGTAGAAAGATCGGAGCGTCTGCAGGGTGGTGGTTTTCTTCTATTCACTGGAAGGAGGGACAGGAGTGGCTTCCTGGGGAGTCGACCTGCAAGGATGGACAGGAGTTGGACTGAGGGTGACAGTGTGAGTCCCCATGCTGGGCCTGGGAGCCTTCTTGGCCCATTGCTTGCTCCTTGCTGCTGCTAATACCACCATGGCTTTAGCTTCTCTCCCCTCCGCAGACCTCCACCTCCCACTGGCTGCTCCAGAGCATATGTCCCCTCGGGCGAGCCCAGCCTGGGCCCGTGGAAGGGGCAGGTCTCAGGTGCTCTCTTCCTCCCGCAGGCCTCTCCCTGGAACGCCTGCCCAACTCCATCGCCTCCCACTACCGCCTGACCGAGCGGGAGGAGGAAGTGGTCGCCTGTTTCGAGAGGGCCTCCCGGGTGGCTCAGGTGTTCCTGCAGGAACTGGAGAAGGTGAGCTGGGGGTCACAGCACCAGGCAGTAGCTGCTCTCTGTGGAGCCCCTCTATCTGCAGGCCCACGCTAAGCCCATAGGTCACCCTGTGCGAATGAGAACAAAGTACCTCCCTGCCCCTCAGGACTGTCAGCCACCTCGGTTGGAAAATGTAGCATCAAACTTCTATTAGAATGAGACTCTTGACCGCCATAAAGTAGGTTGAATAAATAAATGGGTCTCTGTCATCTGTAAGAGAACTCTATGGCAAACTCAATTTTTAGGAGCAAATCTACTTTATCTGGTTCACCCCCTATGAAGAGGTCTTCTATTAATCCCTGTTTAGTGGATGAGGTTTAGAGATAAATCAATTGCTTGCTACTGTCCCCTTGGAAGGAGCAGTGTCAGGTTAGTTCTTGCAGTTAGATGTCCTTCCCTGCTCTTGGGTGTTGAGAATCACCTTGCCCATCCATGGAACTGACCCAAGGCTTTCAGAGGTGGGCAAAGAGCTGACCAGCAGGGTGCTGGCAGTCTACAGGCCCTGGGTCCCCAGCTCCCCCGTGGTGGGCCTGTCTTGACTGTCTGCAGGTGGTGCATTCCAGCTGATGGAGCACCCAACCCTTCCCCTGCTGAGGGGCTCTGGTTTTGGTCGGTGGAGGAGTGGGGGCAGGCAGGGAAGAGAGACCCTGCTAACTTACACCTGCTTTGGTGTCCACCACTCCTGAGGTCATAACACGCATTCCTTAATTTGACCCTCATACTGACTGGATGAAGTAGGTACTGCTGTTATTCCCATTTTTCAGATGAGGAAAATAAAGCTTGGAGAGGAGTTAAACAGCTTCTGAAAGTTCATGCAGTGAGTGAATGGCATTGGCAGGAAACGTTGGGGCACGTGGCTCTGACACCTGGGAGAGGGGTGGGGTATGCTGGGCCCTCTGCCTCCCGGAGACCTAGATGGTAGATGGCAGATGCTCTGCAGGGTAGGTTAGGATTGGTACCCCGGAGGAGGAGGTGGTCCTGAGCCGAGAGACACCTGAGCCTCCTCTGCTGTGATGAATGGCAGGAGAGCCCAAGGGTTTTGGTGATGGTCCTTGGAGGAGTCCACCTCAGGCCAGACTTCCCCATAGCACTGCTGGGCCCATCCCTTGCTATGGGGGCTACCCTGTGTGTTGTAGGGTCTGGCAGCATCCCTGGCCTCTACCACCAGGTGTCAGCAGCACACACCCCCAATTGTGACAATTGGAATGTCTCTGAAGACTGCTAAATGTCCTCCGAGGGTCAGCTCACCCTCTGTTGAGAGCCACTGGCCTGGTTCCCTGCCTGATTGGACTTCAGGAGGAAAAGAGAGGTGGCTGCACATACAGGCCCCTGCATCAGCAGAGGCCACTTGAAGACTGAGCCTCCACGTGACCTCCTTAAGGTCATCGGGTCACCACTAGACAGCAGTGTTTTAGGGGCTCTTTACATTTGCATGTGTTTCCAAGGACACTTTCATGAAAAAGATGTATTGCCCTCAGCTGGAAGCCCAGGCTTTGGTCTTTTTAAAGTTGGTGAGCTATGCAGCTGTCTAGGGCTGAAGTCACCACCTGGTGACAGGGGATGGACAAGCAGGCCCCAATAATTGGTATCTCAATTTCACAGAGGGCCATAGAACTGTGCTTCTCAGAAATGCCTCCTGTCTTCCCGAGACCCAGTCCTGACTTCTGAGATATTAAGGAACGCTCTTAAATCTACTTTGATTTCTGAGAGCTAAGTTAAAGAAGGGCTTGTTTTCTTTTTTTAAGTTATAGATCAAGAAAGGTGGCATACTGAAGGCCTGTCTCGGCAGGACTGGGTCACCCTGTCAGAGCTGAGTCTTGAGTGACACTCAGTTAATAATGTCATTAATCCTGAACCAGGGTCTCAGCCCTGGGATGCGCTGGCATGTCATGGTGTATAGCAGGGATGGTGCAGTGCCAGGCAGGTGGCGGGCACTCCTATGTGAGATGAATTAACCAATAAGAAATAAGTGGCCTGAACTCTGTAGCTGGCCAGATTTGAGTTTGAAGTCCAGGCTCACACAGCTGTGTGACCACGGGCACTTTCTCAGCCTGGGTTTCTTCATCTAGTGAAGCACACAGAGCCATCCATGAAGGACTATCATAAGGCTTAAGTGAGGCTTGTGGTGGCTGTTCCCCTAGTTTCCTTTTCCCCTCTTTTTTTACTTGGGGTTCAGGAGACAACCCCTGAAGAGCACGGTCCCACTTGAAGCGACCTCTCTACCTCTGCTCAGGCAGTGGTGCTTGCTCTCTGTGGAAGGGGGAACGTCTCTGCAGCCAGGAACAGATAGGGGTATCTGCGAGTAGTGAGAGGAAAAGTGTGGGGTCTGAGCCTGACTGCCTGGCTCTGCCACCCACAGGCCAAGTGACTGGGCAGGAGGAGCATCACATCATGCCTCAAGGTTCTCACCTTTGAAATGGGACCAAGACCCACAGTTCCAACCCTTGAGCGTGGCTCTGAAGATGAAACGAGTTAATGAATTTAAAGCTCTGTGACTGTTGAACAAATCATGTTAAACATGGGGCTTGTGGCTTCCAGCATATGGATGAGGGGAGGAAACTTGAGACATGTTGGTTTTGTATTTTTGTGGTGTCGGGGATTAAACCCAGGGCCTTGCAGGTGCTCAGCAAGTGCTCGACCAATGAGCTGCATTCCCAGCCCTTAGACGCACTTTAAATCTAAGTGAGCTGGGTTGAGTTTTATCTGAGCATTGCATAATGTGCCCTGTAGGCAGCTGGGACTGGGGTAGGGCCACTTCCTCCAGCTGGGCTGTCATTCCCCAGACCCTTCTGCCTCTGAACTTTAAAACAGCGGCTCTCCCTCTCTGTTCTCTTCTTAGACCACAAACAACAGCACGTCACGGCATCTGAAAGGCTCTCACCCGGTTGACTATGAGCTCACCTACTTTCTGGAAGCTGCCCTCCAGAGCGCCTATGTGAAAAACCTGAAGAAGGGGTAGGTCGTCGTCGCTGCGGCCGAGCAGAACCTGGACCTTTCTCCTTGGCCAGTGCTTTTGATGCTGCCTCAGCTCTGGTCTGGCCTGTGTGTGTGTGTGTGTGTGTGTGTATGCACACTCTCCAGAGAGGATGGAGCCGGGCTGGCACATGTCACATCTTGTCAGACAAGGCTGTGCAGAAGGGCCGAGCTTCAGAAGGCTGCACGCCTCGGGGGACGCCACTGAGAAGGAGGGCAGGAGTGACTGTCTTCAGAAGGGGGAGGGGAGCCAGGCCTAGAAGGTGGTGTGGAGGGCACAGAGGGAGGGAGTAGCTTGGCACTGGCCTGCTATCATCCCTTGTCACCGAGGTATAGGCAAAGCCATTTTACTTCTCTGATCTCAGGTTCCCCAGAAACCAATTGGGAAGGCTGATTCTTGCTCATTCTAGCTTCCAGAGAACAGCAAGGGGAATCATGGTGAAAATACAAGCCTGGCATCATTTTGGGGTGCCACTGTGAGTGAAGGAGCAGGAAGCTCGCTGCCTGTGTGGTGTAGTAAGGGCCCCTCGTTCTTCCCGGCCCCAGTTCCATGGTGCCTGGGATACCTGCCTTGGTAGTTTGCTGCTGGGTGAAGCAGGAACCCCTCAGTGAATAGCGAGGGGGTGGCTGGAGTCGGGTGCCAGGCTGGGAGTGGTGGTGTGTGGTGTGTGTGGGGTGGCAGTGGCGAGGGAGGGAGAAGCTCCAGAATCAGGAGGGTGCTTTGTAGGCAGGCATATCTCCGAGGCCACCCTGCCTGCTGCAAGTTCTCTCTCCCGGCAGGCCAGGGGCTCCTGTCTGTCCCTGCTGCAGGGATTTGCATCCTCCACAGACACTGTGAGCCGGGGCTGGAGGGTGTCACTGGCAAGAGGGGAGACATGCTGAACGTGCCTGTCTCCCTGGGAGGATAAACTTGTCATAGGCCTGAGCTCTCGTCATTCAGCCCTCATTCGCAGGGAGGCAGGGTGACCAGGAGGTAGGATGACCCAGGACATCTGCAATGTCCTTTTCACTGACTGCTTGGAGGTCTTAGAAACCTGGTGGTCATTTTGTTAAATTTCACTTGATCCATTCTTATTTAACCTGCTTTTGAATAGACGATTCTTATACATGGTTATCTGTGTAATTGGAAAAAAAGAAACTTACTATTTTCTCCTACTCTGTATTCTCAACAGACCCCTCTGTGGCCTGTGGGTTCCCTCTCACCCACAACCTGTTCTCCAGCACCAGCTAGGAGGGGTCCCTACAATTCAGTTTAGTTCCTTCACCAACCAGCATTAGCTCAGGTCCCACAGGCTGTCCCACCAGACTGCCTCCCCTACTTCCGATGCCAGTTGCCAGGAGCAGGTTACAACCCATGACTTCTGTTTGACTTGGCTACAAATTAGAGGTTTCCACAACTCCTTCTCAGACTCCCTAATTTGCTAGACCAGTTTACAGAACGAGGAAAACAGTTCCCTTCTGAGGTCACTGGGTTCTTATAGACGGTCACAGCTCAGGAACAGCCAGGTGGAAGGCACACGTAGCATGCAGGAAGGGGCGCGGAGCTTCCTAGCCACCCTCCCCGAGTTCAGCTAGAAGCCGGAAGCTCTCCAGACCTCGCGCTGTGCAGTTTTTATGGAGGCTCCATTAGGTAGACTTGGTTGATTGAACCATTGGCCAGCAGTGACCAGCTCAGCCTTCAGCCCCTCTCCGGCTCTCTCTTCTGGATAATCATTATTACCACTTTGATGTTTATCTTTCATATTTCTTGTCTAGTTTTTATTTTTTCCAAAAAACAACAACGCCCCTCTCCTCTCGTGCTGTGAGCCTCTGGTGACCCTGCCTACTCCATTTCCCCTGAAGTTGCCTGCTGGAAGCAGGAGGACCTGAGCTCACTCCTGAAAGCCATCAGAGGGCTGGCTGGGCCCAGACACACAATAGAAGGTCAAGTTTGAGCTGGGCTCTGGTGTGGTGAGCCACAGGAATCAGGGAGGGGCAGAGGAGGTGGGTGAGGCCCAGGCATCTAGGTGGGCTGGGATCTGCAGGAGGGGAGGGCCCCTGTCCAAAGAAGCTTGGGAAGCAGGGGGTTGATGTCTGACTCTTTAGACAGTAACCTGTGAGTGAGGGAAGGTAGCAGATCTCCAGGAGGAACAGGGGCTTGGTGTTTGCTAGACTTTGACCTCCTTTGGGGGTGTTTCTAGATGGGCAGTTGCTCTGAGCACAGCAGTCCGACTAGAACCAGGGGTGAGCATTTCCATCCAGTGGGCACCCTGTCCCACCCAGCAGCCTACCCATCAGAGCTGCATCCCTTTTGAGCTGTTGGGGGACACAGAGTTTAAGCCTTCAGCTCCCTGGAAGAGAAGGAAGTGGAGTGCCTTGCCTGGAATTTGGAGCAAACTGTGGTGAGGCCACTCTGGGAGGCAGAGGAGGCTGCAGTGCTGTGGGCAGGCAGGTGGCCGCAGGCCCTGGTGGGCCTGTGCACTATTCATCTCTGTTTCTCTAACAGCCCTTATTAGAGGAGGGCTGGAAGGTGTGGGGCATGGCACCAGCTCTGGATCTTCCAGAGGCCAGGCATGGTGGCACACCCCTGTAATGCCAGGGGCTCAGGAGGCTGAGGCAGGAGGATCGTGAGTTCAAAGCTAGTCTCAGCAACTTAGGGAGGCCCTCAGCAACTTAGGGAGACTCTGTCTCAAAAAATAAAAAGGGCTGGGGATGTGGCTCAGTGGTTAAGCACCCTGGGTCCAATCCCTGGTATAATAATAATAATAATAATAATAATGTGAGAGGGCCCAACCCTGAAGCAGGCTGCCTTTGCACTCCCCTCCTACCTGGCCAATGAAGAGAGGGAGAAGTGCAGCTCTGGAGTCACCTCTGAGGGTGAATCCCAGTTCTGCTACTGGAGCCCAAGTCACTGTGGGCAAGTCCCTTGAACTCTGAACCCAGTACCCTCAACTGTGAAGTGGGGCAAGGCCTACTTGGATTGAATCACATGTGAACACCCACCAGAGCACCTGATATGTCATAACTGCTGAGAACATCAGAACCAGTGGTACTGTCATTTGTTTCTATTATTCTCATGCAGTCCATGACTGGGCAGACTACAGGCCCAGACACGAACTTTATACCTTTTGCTTTTTTTTTTATTTTTATTTCTCAAGTATGATGCCGGGGAATGTTGGTATCCTTGTTTAGGACCAATGGATTCAGGGGCCTGGGTAGCCAAGATGGATAGGACTGGCCACAGTCGTGGGCTCCTCAGACCACCTACAACTGTGGAAGGACTTGGGGCCCAAGGAGCCCAGCTGCCTCTGCCCACATCCAACAAAGCAGGTGATCCTTGTTTAGTTACTGAGCCCCCGTTTCAGACACAGTGGCCCAGCAAAAACAGGATTCCTATTTTTACTGCCCAGGCAGCTCTAGCTGGAATTGTCATTGCCCTCATCGTGTTGTGCCCAGGCGGGAACCCCTCTGTCTGCCAGTTGTGAGCTCCCAGGGATGAATCTGGGGAACACAGATGTGGCCCTCAGCTCCCGCTCTGCAGAGGTTTGGAGGAAGAACCAGGCTGGACCCTGTGAGGCTGTCAGTGCCCTTGGAAACCCACTGTGACCTCTACAAGCTGAACTTGAGCAGTAGGCTTGGCTGCCCTTGTTTTTGTAAATAAACCTTTATTAGAACACAGTCACGCCCATTTACTCACAGATTGTCTTATGGTAGAGTTGAGTGGTTGCAGTTGGGATCTTGTGGCAAAACCTATAGTATTTGGTCTCTTTATTTTCCCTTTATGGAAAACAGTTTGCTGACCCCTGCACTATAGAGCTTAGAAGTCCTCCCTCCCCAGAAAGCACTAGGGGGTGACCATGTATATGGGAACCTTGTGGAGGAGTGTTCGTGGGGAGGGGACTGTTCTAATTTCAATGCTCTGTCCATCCATCTAATGACTATTTCATATAATAATTCATGCTAAATGAAGTATTACTAAATACAAGACACTTGTGAAGTGTTTGCTTGTGTTAGTCCTCCCTGTGAGGTAGGTGGAAAACTGAGGCATAGAGAACAAATGTGAACTGGCCTGGGTGGAGCCAGGATTATGCATGCAGGGCCTGGTTGGCTTTTGGAGGTGGTGCTAAACACTGGGCAGCACTGCCCACAGCAGAAGTCCTCTTAGAAGATCTTGCTCTACCCTTGAGGTGCACCCAGCTTAGGCCAGCTTCCTCAAATGTGCTTGTGCTTGGTAGGTGCTTGGTAGATGCTCCTAGCTTCTGGTATGAAAAATTGGATAGGTGCCCCTTCACAGCTAGAGGAAGACAGGGCAGGGCCTTGGAGTTGGAGGCTACTCTGTGACCCTGAGCAAATTCCTCCTCTACAACACTAGCCCTATCCTGTACCAGTCCTGCATGGTGGGGGTCCTGGAGGTGCGGGGTGGGTCCAGTGAGAGTAAAGGGATGGAAGTCAGCCTGGGAAGGTACTTCCTTAACCACCCCCTCTGCTGAAGGTGTCCCCCCTTCCACCTGTTCCATGTTCTGCAGGTGTAGTGAGGTTAAGGTGAACATCAAAGTCAGCCAGGAGGGAAGGAAGGAGTGGCATGGTGGGTTATCAGGTACCTGCTGGGCACCAGGCTGAACCAGTGCCCAGTGCACAGTGCTCTGTGAAGAAGGTCATGTGGTCCTGCTTCACTCACCAGGAGACAGAGAGGTTTGAAGAGTCGTCTCTGGCCCAAGCTCACCCACCCTGGCTCCAGCTGTAGGTCTGGACAGCCTTGAAATCTTTTCCAACGTTTTGGGTGTGGAAGGGAAGTTTGGCCAGCCTGAGGGGTGTGTGGGGAGAGACAGGGCCCTGGTGGTGGCTGGGGCCTATGAATGGATCTTTGGGACACAGGCTCCATTCTCTCTTTGTCTCTGCGACCCTGAGTCACCATTTTCAAAGGATGCCTCCTCTGCCTGCCCTCCCTCCTAGACACCGCCTGTTTCCTCTTGATTCATTCTGTACACTCAGGCTGTGTGGGA